GCAAGTTCTTTGTCTTTCACCACCACTTTCACATCGCAGAAACTTTGGTTTCTTCTCAGGATATCTAAACGTTCGACAAGTTCTTGGCGACATTCAGAGGGATCTGCAGACACCATGGGTTGAGAGAGTGCCTCCATGTTGAACTCCTGTAGTTTTAAGTTACGAGCCTCGATTTCGATATTGATTCAGTCACGCAACTCTTTTTATCACGCAACCCAAACTCACGCTAAAGCGATTGAGCGTAGCGAAATCGAGAGCATCTTCGTTTTGTATTTCCTCAGGAGACCTGATTTCCTTCTATGATTTTCTGTGTAAGTTCTATGGATCATTAGAGTTACTATTAGTCAACTTTGATCTGGAAACGCGTTCTCGTCAAAAGGCATCTTCGGGCGAAGTTCGGAATAACCAAGGCAAGCTGTTGGCTTTATTATCAGAGTACACTCCGGGGGCTTACAAGTTCAAACAACGGTACGCAGTTTTAAAATAAGTTGTCTGATATTTGGAAGAGAATTTAAGGAATAATTTAATAGGAGGCGTTTTTCAATGCAATAGCGACGATTTTCATCCACGCGATTCAGATATTGCGATTGTTTCTTTTCTTGTTTTTGTTTTTTGTTTTTTGTTTTTGTTGTTGTTGTTGTTGTTTTTTTTTATATCCTAGCAGTATCGGTAGTTCATCTTGGTGTTCATTTGGGTGCGGGTAGTTTTGAAAACAACTGAACCGTGGTTTATAAGTAACTACATAAAATACCTCCGAACACCTTTAAGCGCAGGCTAGTTCTGGAGGGTGCCGAGGCTCGACTGCCAGCCGCTGTTCCGCAAAGGAGTCCGCGCTGCTCCCCTCTTCTCGGAAATGGAGACCAGACTCGAGAGAACGGATACTTTACTGTGGGAGGAAATGTTCCTGGAAATGAGGAAGAGGTGACCACGGGGAGAAGGGTGGGACAAAACACCGGAGACTCCTGTCCCTCTGGGCCGGAAAAGGTTACTCCGGCTTATGTCTGCTATTCTTAAGCAGGAGCCGTCTCTTTTGATATACTTCAGCCGGCTATCAGGCAATTCGTATAGAAGGACTAATTCAGTCGGCGCTAGTTACCAGGATTACGTGACCAGAGATACGTGACGCGAGATTAACAGCTCTGTAAGCACTAAGCACAGCGCAATAGTGAAATTCCAGCCTCCCCATTCAAGCTCATTCGAAGGGAGTCGAAGACTAGGCTGGTCGGAAGGGGAAGCCCTAGAACCCCTAGGAGAAGGAAACTCTGATTCCCAACCCGGGCAGATGGAGCTTGTGAGCGTGCACGATTCGGGTTAATCATCCGCTCCAGTTACAGAAACCACAAGCGCTCGAGACAATCCGACAAACACGTAAAGCAGCACAAAATAACTCCTTTTTCATAGAAAGTTTATTGTGTTCATCTAAATCTACGTTTAAGACCCCATATTGGAACTTATATGAAGTCGACACATTCCTTTGACTTCCCTGAGAGAAGAAACGAAAGAAAAAAAAATGCACAACTTCAATCACCTTTACAGTAATGGTCGATCATTAATATACCCGTGAAGCAGAAACCTTTCATTAGCTAGGGCTCAAATAGGGGTAGTAGAAATACTGTTTTCCAGTTTATTACTACCATTAAATAGGGCTTTGTTACAGGACTGGTGGCCGGTTAACTAGCCGAGGCAAATTTTGTCTCGCTTTATTCTGGAAATATTTCTATTTTCCTTCTAGCAAGTTTTTAAGTCGAAAAATCCTTCAGTTTGGCAGCCGGAAAGAGGTGTTCAAAGGGAGACATCGTCCAGCCCAGCCTGTTATCTTAGACGAACAAAACGGAATGTGGTAGGACAACTTTAACCAGGCCAGCTCGCTTACTAGGTTCATATGGAGACGCCCTAACATTATTGACGGCATATCAATGGATCAAATGGCACCTAGTACCAAACAAAACAAGAGTACAAATCGTGGACGCTTTCCACGAAGCACCTCACTAAAGTCAATTTCTTCTGAATTAAAACCAAATCTGCCTGTACTTTTTCTTTTTCTACACTTCAGTTCACAGTCTCGACTGTTTCACACTCTATCCTGCCGCGGGCGTAAACCACGCACAGCCGAGATGTAAAACTTCTCGATTTCTTGTGCATCTATGTTCTCCCCTCCGTTAGATGTGCCTACTTCAATTCTTGATGTGCATTCTGTGTTTATTTTACTTCCAACAGCTACGCCGGTACTTTAGTGATGGTGCTCTGAATGGCCTTAACAAGGGAATCCACCCAGTCAGTGGGCGGTCTTGCACCCCATATCGATCCAGTCTTTTGAGACTGTTTCTGAGAGCTTTCTTGGGCTTTTTCTTTCTTTGCTGTAGCACTGCTCTCATCCTTACTTGTTCCTGGTTTATCGGATGGTGACGTCGCTGCTTTAGCAGCACCCTGCTCCTCGCCATCAAGGGTTCGTCGTCTCTTCTTTAGAGGCCCGTCATCTCCGTCTGCTTTGGCTGTCGATGACTCTTCCGTCTCCTTGCCTTTCTCCTTCTCGTCCTTGTCCTTCTCTTTGTCCTTGTTCTTTTCCTTCTCCTCCTTCTCCTGGTGCTGATCAGGAGGGTGCTGTTCAGACTCAGTAGGCGGACGTGATTTGCTCTCCAGTTTCTTGGCCTGGTACTTGCGGCACACCACCAGCAGCTCGCCAAGACTTGGGTGCAGCAGCGCGCTGACATCAGACTTCTGCGGCGGTCGCACAGAGAACAGTAGAGACATCGCTCGTAGCTCCTATGGCGAATTAAATAACTTCATTTAGTTAGAGAGGATGGGCGATACATCATGTCAGGTTTGTAAAGTATTGAGCTACTTCCCCAAAATAATTCAAAATAGCAGCTTTCTAATGGCGAAAATCACTAGCGAAGTGATTATCGAAACAAAAAAGAACGAGCTTGGTTAGGATTGACCGGGATTAGGAACGACTAACTTGAAAACTCAGGGCTCGAAATTGCGACGTACTGGTCGCACCACGACCAAAAATTAAGCACTGGCGACTCCCGTTTTGTCCGATAACTAAAGAAAGCAACGGCACAACTTTTGTTTTTAAATCTTTATATTAGGAAATCAATGGAATATGGTAGCTAGTTTACAACTCACCTTTCCGTCCCCGGTAAGATAATGTCTGAATATTACAAGATAATCGAAAAAATTGAATGTATTTCGACACGTCGATACTGCGTTCACGGCGCGCCCTATTGTTTCAGCGGCTTCTTCCGAAACTGGGATGGCAGGCGCACTTCACCATGTGCTTTTCATTTGCCGCGAAAATGGCGGCAGATCCCAATCAGTTGAAGGAACTACGTGAGTTTTTACGTGCGAGGAATGAAGATTCAAGCATGGCGTTGTTTGTCGGCAGCGAAAGGCATCGAGGGAAGCAAGTCGAAAATAAAGAACGGCATTTCGAAGAAGTAGCAAAGGGAAAATACGCAAGGACTCCTGTTTGTCTCACAATGAAAACCACGGACTTGAAACGTTTTATGCTTCGCCTCATTTAAAATGACTATGGAGACAACCGTCACCTTCGGACCAGAGACATATCACCTGAGAACAACAGTAGCTTTATAACTTAGTGTTACTCGTGTTGTTTTGAATTGTTTTCGCTCTTCAATTGCGACTTTTCTTGCATGCGAAGTGACGTATAAAATCGTGTTCTTGTGTAAGTTATATATAAAATAAGTTGGCGACCAAAATTTACGATCTGGCGACCAAAATTTTTCCGTTAGTCGCCAGCTGGCTCCCGAACGAAAAAGTTAATTTCGAGCCCTGAAACTATTTCAGCAACCTCTCTTCTTCACATATCTCCTTTATGTAGCTCTAAGAAAAGATCGCTTGTTACACCTTCCTGAAAGGAATCCACGTTCTTAGTTTGCAACGCGAAAGCAGGCATTGTGAGGGTATGGGCTACGCAAGTTTAAAATGAGCTAACGTGGTTGTGAAGGCCTAACTAAAAGCTTACCGCAGTCAGCCTCTTGGCTATTGCACAGAGTTCGGCATCACTAGCTTTCTCCGCTGCTGGTTTATCAGCAATCACCGTTGCCACGAGTGTTTGCACCAAGTTATTCCACTGGTTGACCAGCACCTGAGTCGATACCTGCGGGAGGGGGTAAGGATAATATCACGAAACTTTGATACTACTAAGGCAAAGTTAAGAAAGAGAACACCGAGATATATATATATATTTTTTCTTCCGGGACAGTTAGGCTACTGATAAGCTGTAAGACTCCAGATAGGAAGCTACTGGGCATAATTCACTCAATCCTACCCTCGGAAAGAAACAGCAAAGGAAGGTGTAGATGTCTCGCACATTGAGACTTTCTCGTTCATCCAGTAAGATCAGGTCCACGTACTAAATAAACAACAAAAATATTTTACAAAAAAAATTAAAGCTTCATGTATCTAACGGTCAGAAGTAGGGACGCAAACTATCTTCCTATGCACTTCGCCCTGGGATATATTTTGCCGTTTTTTTAACCGTTCAAAATTTATTTTATATTTGCTATTTTGCAAGGGATTTTATTCACTCAATTTTATGTTCCAAAAAGAAATCTTAAACAGTTCTCTACTCGCAAAAACTGAAGGTCTACTGTCGCAATTATAAAGGTGCTCTCGAGCTCAAGATGTGTAAGGCTTACAATCGCAGTTATTTAAGGCATTATTAAATAATTACGAACTATGTTAAGTACTACTTAACTGACACTCACCTCTAAGAACTCGGGCTGTTGACAAAGCTGCTGGAGGTAACTCTTGTATTTGGCATTCTACAAAGAAACAGTTGGTATCAGCACAGGAAAGCCACGCCAACCGAATGCCTGGCAATCCTGTGCTAAATAATAAACATTTACATACATCACCAGCCTTCTGATACACTTCCATCCAGAGCTTACTGAAGAACGTGAAGTGAAGAGGAATGGCTTCTACTGCTAAAAGACAACCTAAAACACAACAAAGTACAATAAATACCGATATCAACTGTAAATAAACTCTGAGAAAATGAACGCCTCTTTTTAGCCACGTGTAAAGATGGTGGGCTTGCTTTGTTAAAAGATGTAAGGCGAAAGGCAACTAGCCGTCTTTTGAGCCAGTGTTCCCTCGACAGCTGACTCTGTTGACTGGCCGGCAATCCATTGCTCCACGAACGAGGAAAATAGCCACATTGGAGCGTTTTCACAAACGTCAAGGCATGACGGCCAAACAATAAATTTTCCCTCCTTTGGGAAATGAGTTATATTGTTATGCAAGAATTTCCTATTGCGTACGCGTTTTAGGAACATCAACATGGCCGCCGTAAAAACGCTCTTTTATAGAAACTTCAAAGCTGATTTCCATGACTATTAAGATTTAAAATACACATTACAGCAGTCCGTTCCGAAGCGTGAAGAGAACGACCGGCAGTACCACTATGGCAAAACTCATACTTGTTTCCTTGTTGTTGTTGTTGTGCTTTACGCAAATAATAGCAGGACAGCACAAACACTTACTGCAAGCGATGACTTGATCGGCCACCCTGTCGTGATTGAAGCCAAACCGCAGCAGTTTATCGACAAAGTGATGGTAAGGTTGAAAGTACTCTGTAACTGCCGCGTCATACGACTCCTCCACACCCTGTCAATACAACGCACACATGCCAGTCTATGTTAATCTAACGTATTTTTTAGAACTACTCCGCACGGGGACACCGCCTGTACTGATACACTAAGTCGTTTTCCTGGCTAGGCACGTGATTACACCTGGCTACCCACGTGACTACACTAAGCTACACATGTGATTACATTTGGCCACACACGTGACTAAACTTGACTACACACGCGACTGCAATTAGCTACACACGTGACTACATGACTTGGCTTATGTCGTTTTGTCTTATATACAAGAAGTTACCTTTGGCGAGTCCAGGAATGACGGATGAAGGAACATGTTGAGCTCAGGCACAGCGGGACGCACCACAGACTTGCTGCTAACGATCACTTTGGAGTGACGGCGAGGAAAGTACGGACCAAGAAGCCCTGAAAATATACACATCACGATTAACACCAAACGTAAAGCTCTAAATCGTTTTATTCACTTTTATAGTGTGAAAAATCAGCTTTAAACACCGAGGCAACTTCAAGATAACAGCCTGCTATGTGAAAAGTAAAGCCTTTGAGTCCAGCACCGCTTGTAGCTCTCAGATCTCCACTCCGGGTTCTGTAGCATGAGGAGGCTAAGATTATTGCTACCCCACCTCCCCCCTGGATGGGATGCTGGCATTCTGTCAAGTTTCCCCAACAAATTGCCAGTACACATTTAAACTCCGCGAGGGAGAGAGGCACTGTGACAGTATTTTAGTGTCTTGCCCAAGAATGCAACAGAATGACCCAGGAAAGGGATCGAACCCGGACCACTCGATGCAGAGTCCGGCGGTTCCGCACTGATCATAAGGCCACCGCGCCTCCGGCAAGTTTACTAAGGGAGGAGAACACTAAAGAGATAATGAATATAAAAGAACCACAGAAGACTTAAAATTGAATAACATAGGGAAGGATTGCAAAATACTTCTCAATCATTTGCTGAACCACTAACCTGGAGGAGACGTTTTGTTCCAGTGCTGGTGAGAAGCATTTATGATAGGAATCAGTGATTCGGTGATGTCACTTGGATACAAAACCAGCATGGCATTTAGCACATCTGCCAATCAGAATAAACAACTGTGGTTATCAGAACAACAATAAGGGATCAAGAAATTAGACTAATTAGAAAACAAACAAACAAACAAGTGCTGCCTTGCCCTCTGGATGGGACGACAGTCCATCCTAGGTTAAGAACATATAAGAACATATAATGACCCGTCCTGTAAACAAAACGGGACCGCGAGATTCCGAATCCAGCACACTAACAATGAGGCCGGTACCATGCCAGTCCTGCATTGTAGAGAAATATCAAGACTTTTTGGAAATGGACGAGTAATTCGAAGCATGGAAAGCAATTGAAGCCGGTAATCGAAGTCTGTGTAACCTAGCCACAGGGAAACAGTTAGAAAGCTTGACATACCTAGACAAGATTGCCTCACTTCTTTGGGAGTGTAGGAATTTAGCAACGAGAGAAGTTTCTGGGCGACGTCAAATCTCTCAGACCATCCTACAATGCTGCTGCGAACATCTGTAGAATACAAGAGATAAATATTTCTAAACAAAATAACGGATAGTCCCGTTCTGTCTCTGATTAAATCCTCTAGACATGTCGACTTCTCTGAAAAGAGTACCCATTTGAGGTTACAGTTAAAGCGTTCTTCCAAATGCTGAGGGCAACGTGACGCACGAAAAACCATGGCGGGGATTACATTCAGGATCTCTCCCAGACAATGGATGCCTGTGCTTGAACTCACTCGACGATAAAATGTTTGCAAACAATTTGAAATGCAAGGCGAGGCAGATTTAAAACCCAATTTAATCTAGCCTATTCCATACTTCTGGCTCTCCATTCCATATCTTCTTCGGAAGCTAAGTGGTATGCAAGCTGCTTAAGTTTGTCTTTTTTTTTTTTTAAATAATTCACTCCTACCTGGTTTGTTGCTGTGAGGCCGACAGCACACTAACAGGTTATGTAAGATCATCAACACTTCTGTCAGGTCTCCTGTCACGTGACAAGCCGTGGCCTCGTGGTACATCATGTGAAGAGTGGTGAACGCCTGTTGACCAATCAGATAAGAAAAGAAAAGAAAAGATATACTTCAATAAGCATCCGCATCAAAACCAACACTATAAATTGACCGTGGTAATGCTACTGAAACCACATGATGCAAGGAAATCCTTTCATCTTGGTGGGATGTGAAGACACCTACGAGCTCTTGAATTGATATTCCTTAGCTCTGCCGACTGAGCCAAGGGCCAAACGAGGGCACGTAAGTAAAACTTGAAGATCAGTGACGGATTTAGTGGGCATGCTTGGGTCTCTTTTTTGGCGAAGAATAAAATCAAAACATACCCCTTCCCCACTCGCCCAGCCGATCCTCACATTTTCAGCACATCTAGATATGCTACTGTAGATGTCGGGGCAAGTCGATATGTCAATGAATAAATGAATAATAAATATGACATCATACGGTTTTAAGTTGAGTAAGGGCCAATAAACGTGGTACAATTTTTGCCTATGGCTGTCCATACGAACATGCTTACAATTACTCTTCTAGTTCTTACATCTGACAAGGTGAGAAGTCCTTGATTGACGACCACTGTTAATCTGTCCTCTTCAGTCTGAAGTAAGATCTTGTATGCACTAGGTAAGAAAATAGCGCCATTAAGATCATAACCTCACACTTCACACTTCGTTTCTAATTTCACTTCACTCTGGCGCACGGCGGAAGCATAAAATTGAGACAAAGGGATTCTCGCTTCACTTTTATGCAACTTGCGTCAGCTGGCTATTTTTAGCATGAAATCGAGGCAAAATGCATTCGCGCCTCACTTTGACGCTACTCGCCCCAATTCATCTCGCGCTAACGCACGTACCTTATAAGGGTGGTCCAGGATGCTCCTCCGTCCAAACAGTTCTGGTACAGTATAATGGTGTCTCTTCTGAACGTTGCCTCGACAGCTTCGTCTTCTTTGCTTTTCTCTTTTGACGAGTCAGGCGTCGTGAGACCAGCAAAGAGTCGCATGAGACCGAACAGCTCTTCAACTGCCTGCAACACAAGCGTGCGACAAACCTCGGTCACGACTCACGCAATGTCAACTGCATTTCACGCGAGCAAATGACAAACTTGTGTCACGATTAACGCAATCTCGACTGCATTTCACACAAGCAAAAGACAAACAGGGTCACGACTCACGCAATCTCAACTGCGACTTCACATAAGCAAAAGACAAACGATTCACGCAATAACTGATATTGCAATTGAGTCTGCGGTCTAATATTTTTTTGCTGATAAAGGCATGCGAACAGGGCAAAAGTATCAAAACAAAGCAGCATTGACCCTTCTGCCTCGTTTGTAAAACAAACAACTGATGACTGTAATAACAGCTATGAAAATAAAGGGAAAAAATAATAGTTTAGAGGTACATGGAAAAACAAAACCCAACTGTCACCCTCAATAACAGAGCGTTCTTAAAAATTTTAAAGTGCTTTTTCTCTCAAAAATCAAAGACTCGTGACTTAAAATGGTCGCATGTACCATAACTCCATAACGCAGTTTATGATTGAAACTGAAGCCTTGCCGATCTAGTTACCTGCGGGTATTGGTTCATACGAATCGTGAGATTCTCAAAAGCCCACTTCATGTTGGAGTGAACGGCGAGTTGGCGCGTGAATGACCGAGAGTGCTCACAACACAACCGCAGCAGACCGTAATACGCCGGAAGTACGTTCCTGTTAAACGTCACCACTTCCGGTTCATCGCTGGAGCTGCAAATACGCAACAATACCCGGGAACAAGGAATTAGTTTCTAAAAAATGTTCGGTTGAGGAAGGAAAGTGTAACACAGCTATTTACAGACTTGAAGTTGATAAAAGTAAATTAACCACCGTAGAAAATTAATGAAGTTGAACGCTTCGGGTGTTAGCCCTTCGCTTTGCTCTCAGGAACGGCAAAACCCCGTTACGTCGATTAATTTCCCGGGGGAAGGTAGACCCCCCTATGAAAAGGTTGGGGATGTTCGTCGTCTCGCTTAGGGGTATAATCAAGGATTCTGGTCTCACTTGGGTATTCATGACCAAACGCCGCTACTTTAGCTGTCAAAGCATCTTTTAGGGTGCACTCGAAGAAATAATAAAGGAAATGCTGTTATTTCCGCTTTTATGTTCAATTTCCTCTGGTCTCTTGAGTCAAGTCTACTAGCGCGGGCTACGTTCCTGAACAGCGGCCGGTAATCAAGTCTATTCCGTTTTAAGTGGTGCCTTTTAGGAGTCGAATAAAGCTCGAGCCTCGCCCTGATTGGTCTGTTTTAAAGGTTTAATTCATATTTTCCGAGAGCATCCCCGAGCTTTTGAATTTCATACGGGAGTTCGTTACCTTTGTTAAATTGCTACATGAAACATCTGGAATAGACTGAGAACAGTTGCACGGACAAAGAATGCGTGAAAATGAGAAATAAAATTACTCATTAAATTTAAATCCAAACAACTCACAGGATGTAATTGAGAGGAATGTTGGCAGCCACATTGCTGCTTTCAGTGATGAAGTCGATGTTCTGCTCGCAGCCGATACAAGCGTGAAACCAGAAGATTAACAAGGCCTGAAACACAAAACAAACATCACTGAATGAGAACTCAACAGGCCTTCCTCCGCTTCTGACCGCCATTTTGTCGAGTAGACAGCATTTCCAATCTCGACTATCTTTACCAGAACATACTTCCACAACTTACATCATGGAAACTCAAGTTTGCTGGCAAAGATCTTATCTAAGCACGAATTTCCGAAAACATTGCAATAACTACATTTCTCTCAAACGACATAAAAGAAAATCGCAAAGAATATTTTCGTACATACTCTTGTAAATGGACAACTATCTCCGCTATACGTATTCTCCCGGTATTTATAAACACCGACAGTATACAAAAGCTCAAGCAGGTTTTTTAATCTCTGTCTCGCTCACAGGCTTCATCGTTTGATATTTTACCGTTTACGATTCCTGCCCTTTCTCGTTGCCGTGAGGACAGGCGTATGTGATCTTCAAACGGTCACTGGACTCGTTTGGTGGAAAACATTGGTATTCGTGTACAACTCTACTTGTGGACAGAAGTCTAAGTCTATTTCACTGTAAAGGCACTGTGGAAAATGACATGGCTGTCAACGGACATTTAAGGGGAGCGACTTCAATTGAAGACCTTAATATTTGAGAAATTACCTGTTTATTAGGATGTACAGGAATGTTTGGTTCCGACATCAGCGGATGAAACAGTCGCCATAACTCTGTACAAAACGGTGTGAACTGGAACGGGAGAAAATAGAATTGCAGTTACAATGCATCACAAGTTGTCTTGGTTTAATTTCTGTCCTAACAAGCCTACACGTGCAAGGTTCGGTGCAGCAAGACAGGACGGAGAGCTAGAGAGTGCTTCACTGTAGACCTTATTACCAAGGTAATAGCTCTCAAGAGTTTTTTTAGACCTGGTGCCCAGTCCTTCCGCGGATGTTACCGCGCGGCGGCGCGTTGCGTGGATGTTGTCGTGGAGGATGAGAATGATTGAGCTGTCCACGACGGTGACCAAAATCCGCGTCACAGGATTGGCTACGTGGGATTTCTGAAACCGCGAGTGAACTAAAAATAACTTAGAGAGATTTCCTTCGGGATAAGGCCGTTAGCATAAAAAATATGACGCTAAAAAATCGAGAAACGTTTTTTTAATCCTATCTAGAAAGGTAAACCTGAAGAAGAAGAAGACAGATCTATCCAAGACCTTTTTGCTGTTCAAATGTGATGCAAACAGACCAAATCTTGAGCATGTAATGGCATTTCGTGCCATACGGCACTCTTGGGAGTGAGAGGAGTTACGCAGTAATGTAAGGTGATACTGTAACGATTCAAATAACAACAAGGGAGAGATCTCCTACCATTTCCTTCTCGGTTCGTGACACCAGGCAGTAGTTCAACACAGCGAAATAGCTGACAAGCTTTGTGGTGCCATGGATGTTGCGATCTAAAACAAAACAACAACAGTCTCTAACTATGAAAAAAATATATAAATAAATATGAACTTTAATTCACCCTCGGCATTGTTTATAGCACAAAGGCTAGTGGGGCCGAGCATACAACTGAAACAAATAACTGCAATTGAATATAACATTGTTAAGAATCCCTTCTGACCGGGGGCAAACCAGTTGGCGATTTCCAGGCGTGGCCGAGGATTTGAACTCGGGGCTACCGTGAAACAAATCCAGGTAGTAGTCAGAGCGCCGCTGGATTGCGAGTCCAACGCGCTGACCATTCGGTCACGCTGCCTCTTCAGACTGATACAGAAACACATGCCTCTGTGGCAAATATGGCAAACTAACATAAAAAAATGTTTCTTGGTTTTCAAAATTTGTCAAGTTCCCATAAGCTTACTTTTTTGGTAAACACAAGCACAGTTTACGGTCTTATTTTGTCTGAATTCCAGAGGTCTTTTCAAAAATAGTCGTACATTCTAAAACGTTCCGTATTACCTGGCACTTCTTCACAAATTTTACAATTGTTCGCTTAATGAGTTAATAGAACTTTACAGTTTTTGTACCAGGTAAGCGAGATGTACAAATTTTACGACTTTTTAGGACTACTGACAACCACAAATGTTATTATTTTCGTAGTCTGTAAAAAATTAACAACCTCCATTCGAGCATGTCCTCAAATCTTTTTTTTTTTTTTTTTCAACACTTCTTTACGGACGATTTTCGACAGAGTCTTTACCGTGTTATAAAGTACATGAATTTCTGGGCATGTCGCAGAAACTAACGCTTTTTTCAGTGAAGACAAATTGAGAGTATACAATCAAATATACAATTATACACAATTCAGAAGGTACAAACCACAATATTTCCTGGCTCTTGGAAGTAAGTTCAGCAACATCTTGAATATCTGGTCAAAAGAAGACATTACGGGAATCATTATCAACATGCCGAACAGGTTTCGAGAAAATCAAATGGAATCCAGGATAAAGAAGTTAGAACAAAACACAAGTCATGACGATATTCAGAATGAAATAATCATACTGTACCTCGTGGAGTATGGAGAGAGCATCCTTACTCAACTGAAAAACAGATTTAAAAAAGTCAGAAAACCTAGTTTCAGTGCACGTTAACTGACAGCTTTTCACTACTCATCAGTGCTACGATCAACCTTGAAATTCTCTTCATCGCTTTTGTTACATATTCTACCATTTAAGTTGAGAGAATTTGTCTTTAAGACTGAGCACGTTTCCTAAGGTAATTTGGCCCTTCCTTGTCACAAAACACCTACTTGAAGTGAACTTGTTAGAAACATGAGGAGAAGAACCGGTTCACTAAGTGCTTAATTAAAAGTGAAGAATGATCATCGCAGTAATGTGTCGCTCCCAATGTGTGTGTCGCTCCCAATGTGTGGCTTCATAGCTCAGTTGGTAGAGCATCGCAGCGGTATTTCGCGGAGGTCATGGGTTCGAATCTCGTTGCAGCCCTGATTTTTTCAGGCTCCTTTCCAATTGCTTAAATTGGAAAATTTACTGCGATGATCATTCTTCACTTTCATCTACTACCGCAGTTCAAATATGAATTATTTCATATATACTTCACATTAAGTGCTTAATTATAACACGAGATATTTACCACCATCTCCTTGTGCGGAGCAGAAAAACTTCTTGATCTGAGGAACGTAAAACGGAAAGTGACAGTTAGGTAAAGCTTAGGTCAGCCTAGCGACATAACGACATAACGAGACGTAACGACATAACGACATAATCGCTTATGCCAGTAAAGTGAACATCCAAATAACTACATAAGGAAAAGATCAGTTTTTTTTCCTTATGTAGTTATGTCCATGCTGTTATGTTGCATTATGTCATAATGTCAGGATGTTCACACTGCAATTATAACGGTAGACTGCTGACAGTCTGTTTTTCTCTCGAAATTCTGGTCAGCTGGGGGTTAAGAGGTGAGACGTTTTACCCAAAAGGGGAATCTCTTTTTTCATCTCGCGTTCTTCCCTACTTGTGCATACCGCCCTTGTCCCGCCTTCTTCCCTGCTCGGCCACCGCCATACCGCCCTTTTGCGTTCGCGATGACGAGACACTCGTCTAAGTGACCCTAATAGCGCAAAAAACAAAAAACAAAAAAAAAAACCGGCTGCCAGCAGACTATAACAACGAGATAATGTGTTTCTTATGTCGTTATGTTTAAGTCGTTCTGTCGCTAGTGTGAGCTAGGCCTAACAGTTCAGGTTCTAAGGAGAAATGTTGTATACTACACAAAAGATATTCGCTCGTTTCAACTAGGTTTGTGTGGAATTGTAGATCTAAAGTTTCAACAGTTTTAGGACAACTGCACTGACCTGAATCCTTGTCTGAAGTGGTTGTTAGGAACAAGGCTTACAAGCAAGCACGCAGAAGCTGTAGGTACGAAAACAAAAGAAGATAATTTGGACCAAGGAAATACCCTAGAGCGATAGTCTGACTGATCAGACTTAATAGTTCATAACAGTAGAGGCAGCAGCACCAGCAGCGAAAGTAAATACGTTTTACGAGCCACTTTAACAGTAAGACCCAAGTCAAACATCGAACTTCAGATAAGACGAACTAAAAAAGGGGTAAAGCTCGATCGTTGGGTCAAACATCGAACTTGATACGACCAACACGTTCAATCCGCCTGTTCCTAAATTCAGTCGGACGAACTCAGTTGAATCAAACGTTGAACTTACCATGAACTTACTTCGCTCAGTTTAGTTCGTCTCATGTGAAGTTCGGCGTTTGAACTGGGCCTAAGGGTCTCTTATCGTCAAAGAAATGTAGCATTCTTTTGGTGTTTCAGACTTGACGGTTTACTTCATGACGACGGTCGCGTCTTTTTGTTTGTTTGTTGTTTTTTTGGTGGGTGGGGAGAGACGGAGTCAGGTGGCACGGTATTTTCGAGAGAGTGGTTGGTATATTATAAGACTTTCGTCGTGGTTATCTAATGACAAAAACTTACCATTTCGAATTCTCAGGCTGTTGTCCGCTATAAGATACTTCTCAACCCATTTGTCCATGTTATCCAAAACCCATTGGTGAGCCTGGAACACAGCAATCAGAATATACAATAAACAACTCAATCTCGTTTCCTGAGGCCGCGATTTCTTTTGGTCAACAAAACAAAATCGAGACATCTGGGAGAAATCGGAAGGTGAGCCAGCATCAGCGGCAGCGGCTACTCTCTCTCTGCGCATGTTCAGAAACTGTTATTGAACTCAATAGCAAGCATACAATCAAACTGGAACCAGGATTTTCTGGTTCCGGTTTTCGATTTTCCGCTGAGCGTCGGGCGTTCGGCATCGCTGATCGAGACCGCGGACCCTTAGGAAGAGATTGAGGTCTACTTTTAGACGTCTCTCTGGCGGGGAAAAGAACTGGGCGAGCGAAGCAGATGATAGCAGATGATATCATCATTCCTGACCATTATTTCGTTGTCTCAGGAAGTAAAAAGAAAGCAAACAAATACCATTCTGTTTTTAGGCGCCATACAAGTCAGCCAGTCTATACAAAGAGCAGCGTTATACTCAGCAGCCTGAGAAAAATAAAACAAAGACATGGAAAGCAAAATAGTCAATAGAGCAAACAAACCACCGTATCTATGATACGGCACAGAGCTACCTTAATAAAGGAAAAAGACAAACAAATGAACAAAATGCGATTGATAAGAAGTGCGTTAATTTACTTTTGAGCCAACATTATGAATCTCGTATTAACATTCACTACTTTGTCTATCGATAAATCAATCTTACTTCTTATTTTTACCGCCAAATCAATCGTACTTCACACAGAGAGTGATTTGGCTTGGTGCTACTTTGCTTGGTTCGCTGGGTTTTTTTTTCTGTTGTCATCACAATCTTTTCTGTGCTACTCGCTGTCAACAGGACTTATACATACATACATACGTTTATTTCACGTCCCCTTGGGGCTTTTCAGCGAAATATATAACAAAACAAAATTAGTTCTATGTTACTAAGAATTAAATTTCAGAAATATAGATGAAATTTAGACTTATGACTTTTTCTTTCGCCGTACGTCTTCATTTGCAATGATTTTACACTTACTATTCTCTTCGCGATTAAAATACTATCACTTAACAAAAGAATCTCACCTCCCAGATGCGCGCCAGAGTGAGGTTAGTGAAGGATGGCATACCGGGCGGACCCCCCTGCATCTCGGTCAACATGGACAGCAACTTGAAGAATGAATGAGACTGCTACAGGGGGGAGGAGGAATGAACAAAACAAATATAAGTAACAATGTGGCAACAAGATTTCATTGGAATCAAATTAGTAACACAACATTTAACTAACCTCTGGTGGCAGTTTCTGCACTGATGACATTAACAACGAGATTATCTGCGACAAATAAAAAAGAACGATAAGTCAAAGTGCGCTGGACAACACACTCGAGTAACTTTGCACTCATACTTCTCAAACTCTTCACCAGTTCTCTTCAGGTTAGAAAAACCCTTCACCAGTTGTCACCAGGGTGAAGACACTCTTCGCCAGTCTACTCCAACCTGGAGAGACTGAGGGTAACTGCGAGACTATCTTGGCCAAGAATAAAACCTAACGAACTCAAGCAGGGTTTTAACCTGGACCACTTGATCTGGAGTCCACGAAAGTGAGATTGCAACACTGCACTCTAAGTGTATCAAGGTTAAGGTAATATTATGAAAGATTTAATAGGTTGCTGATTGAAGAAAATTAAAAGCAAAATTAAAAGTCAGTCACTCACGTTTTCTGCTAGCTTCACATTGTATCTACACAAGCTGAATATCAGGTTTGTTGTGTGACGCAGGTTGATGCTGTCTTTGATGGCTTGGAAAAGGAATGGAAATCCCTACAAAACACAAATGACTATTACAAACAGGAGCATTCTTGCGCTGGCTAAACTCGTTGCCCTGAGCTTATGCTGCACATGCCACGCTCAGTGCAAAAAAGACTGACATAAGCGAGTTTCGCGATATTGGTGTTCTTGAATGATTTTAATTGATATAGAATTTAGCCATTTGTTTCGTCGTTTTACGGTTTTCATCTCTTAGTTTATGAAGTCTTTGGGAAGTTATAGAGAACATTCGAAAGACCTTTCGATAAGGATATCAAACACGCCGAATTTCGTGGAAAAAATTATAAACAGAACAAACCACGCTTTGTTCTTTCCAGCGTTTCATATATTACTTCATTTATTGCAGTGCAAGAGAAATTTGCTTCATCAACTTTAAAAATAAGGAGTAACTGAAAACACACTAATGCAGCAAGTTCAACAAAATAGAGCTATAAAATATATCATAGTACCTTTCCTCCTGTTAATGCAGCTAAGTCATTTTCTGAGAGATGCAATTGTCTAATAAAAGAATAAAACAAAGGTAAATTGAGGCAGCCGAGTAAAACATTAAACTGCTATCTGATGACTGGCAGGATTAAAGATGCTGACCAATCCTCGAATACTTTTTGTTGGTTTTCCTAGCTGTTCAGCCAATCAGAGAACAATCAAACATGACTTTTTTTTTGCTACGGAGTTACTTGTTCCCAGTGTCTGTTTGCCGCCCCTCTGAATCAATGGAGCGCAAGAAGTAAGGGCCTAGGAAAGAGGTTACTGTTTCGACATTCTCATTTCTCAAGTCATAGGAAATTGGTTAGAGGAAAGAGTACAGCGCATTTATAACCTCTCAGAAATCTTCCACGGCAATAATCGTTTTACAGCGCGTAAAACCAAGCTCACCTCTCGCCACGGGATTCCTCGACTAACAGCGCCATGACAGAGATCATCTTCTCCAGGGACCCCACGCGATATTTATCTTCTGGGAGAATGGTAACCACCTCTTCGTCATCATCATCATCACCATCATCATCATCTTCAGTTGTCGAGTCATTCTGAAACGTGTAATTCAGAATCAGTTTTGGCCATAACGACGCAAAACACAAAATTGCCACTTTACTATTTGTCTAATGCTAGAAGTAAGGATTAAGAATTCAGGGCGGGGTTGTTCGAAAGCCGGTTGATGTTAACCCAGAATTAAAAGTTAACTAAAGTATTAATTTTGCTCGGAAAAGAATGTTTTACTGCTTATGTTTTGTGTAGTTTGAAATTATTCAAACTCAAAACAGAGGAACAAACAATATAAACAGAAAACCTCACCGAAAAGTTACAAAACTCAAATCAAAATTCTCGCTTATCTTGGGTTAGCTTAATCGGGCTTTGAGCAACCCTGCCCTGACCTAGGGAGCAGCATGTAGCTACATTTGAATAGTTTAACTGGTTCACCATTTCACGGCGAAAAGCATTGAGGGAAATTCAGATTCAAACACTCCTCAGGAAATAACTCCGTTTTCTGCATATCCTGTAATGTAACTCGACGCAACATTCCACTGCCGGGTATATAGCCTGCCATTGCCTGATTTCAAGCCGGAAAGGACTAGGTACTAGTCTACAAATTATGGGATTAACAGCTATTGATCCACATAGTCATAAAGTGCAGACCAAGCTTAACAAAATCTCTAAGTTTGGTGCAAATAGTCCCAATAGTAAGCAAAATACAACCATTTGAAAACATCAAAATTTACAAAAAAATGTATGGCCATCCAGATGCTGTGTCCGGATGACCAAATATTTCTGTGTAATTTTGGCGTTCTTAAATGGCTGTATCTCAGTCAAAACTAGCCTGATTAAACACTAAACTTGGGGATTTTGTGAATCTCGGCGTGCTCTTTCTGACTATGTGGATCAATAGTTGCTAATCCCATAATTTACAGACTCGTCCCTAGTCCTTTTCGGCTTGAAATCAGGCAATAGACAAGCCTTCTATCCAAAAGGGAACAGCAATATTCCTTCTCGCTAAATGCCAGGAATCCCGATGTTTTGCGCCGCCATTCATTCGACGCCTTCCATTAGATCACCCTTACCAATTCAGACGCTTTTGTTCCAAGATAGAATCCCACCATCACTGATATGGCGTCCATTTTCAAAAGAAATTCACGCTGTAATAAGAGAAGACAAATTTTCACTTAATTGGTATCACCAGGCGATTACTACAATAGTTTAGGTGACATTCAATTCAGAATTTTAGTATGCAGCTAACAAAACAACGGGGCGCTTAGACAAAGTTGCTGAAGGTCAACAACTAGTTACGGATGTTTGAATGAGAGAAAGTTCCTACGCCAGTGATTGGAAACTGCTTGTTACGTCAATAACAACAATTCTTTTTGTGATACATGCCTCGTCTTTGCCAAGTACAGCAAACTGGTGAATGAACCAGAACACCTCGGAAAGATTCTTGACATAAGCCTTGATGTTCTGTTCCAACTAAAAGCGACAAAGAACACCATGTAAAATGAGACAGAACTGATTTTGAAAGGGAAAGCCTTTTCGGATAACCTTATAAATAAACTACTAATAGATATCGACTCAGCGTAAATAAACAGAGAAAGATGAAGAAAAAAGCCATATACATGCTCTAAGGTAAAGCTTGAGGTCAAGTTTAAACAACAGTGAATATTAATCTAAGGCACGTCCGTTGTGTTTGTTTAGTTGTAGTTCTTCAACTTTTTCTAATTAATAATTTTGTCCATTCACATACTATTCATCCCCAAAAAGCTAAGACCTGAGTAAATTTGTCACTTACCAGTCTGAAGACGGCTTTAACAAACCCGCTGACATAAACGAAGTACACCCTCTCGGCTTCTTCAACTTCTCCATCGCTGAAAAAGCCAAAAACATAACTACATCAACGATGGCATCTTCGCCCAATAAATGACACAACCCTTGTGGACCCAGGCATTTCCAACGACAGTGACAGAAGAAAGTCACACAAAAAATACCGAGAAAACACAAACCACAGTAAACAAAACGTTTTTGGCCTACAATGAAAGATTTACTACGAAGCTGCACTGGTTCAAATTTAGCAAAGACAAAAAGCTTACTCTTCTGAGCGGGTCACATAGAGAGGCCTCAGGATCTGAATGACATCCAAGCAGAGTCGAGCAAACATCTACGAAAACAAACAAACAAACGAACAAACAAACAAACAAAAAATAAAAGAATAAGTAAATAACAGCAGCTGAAAGCAGATCGTGGAAAGTTCACATAGGTGAGAAATATGTTGCCTGTTTGTGTACAGGACAGGGATATTTCCTTTGTATTTCCTTTGTACGTTTAATCGCATTCTTACAAATTTTTAAATAGCGATTTCCCTATAATCACTAGTGCCCCTGATGTTACACATGCAAGATATTATCTATACTCACATGTCGGATACTTTGTATGGGACACTTGACCAGCACCTGAAGCAACCAGTCCTCGCTTGGCAAAGTCTGCAGAAACCACTGACAGACCACAGAAGACTGAGCGTACTGTGCCAACAGAAGGTCTGCCCAGTTCTTTATCAGAAGTTTCTCCTTGGCATGGACAAGAGTTTCCAACAAGAATGACGTCCCTGTGGTTCAAATCAGTTAACTAGTTATACAAGCAATTGATTGATATGCCATTTGAAAGTAGAGTGATCAGAAGTTGTCAAAAAGATGTCAAAAAGTTATCAAAAACTAAGTAAGAACGTCATTGGTGGCAACGGTAAGGCGCGTAACACCGTAACACTGCATCTATCGCAGAAACTCTCGGCTAAGTGGCAGAGACCCATCCATACCCATACCAGTACCCTTCACCCCACCCATACCCATACCAGTGATGCTTTTATTCCATTCCCCCCACCCCTCCCCCGCATCTTTTGGATCCCCACACAAGCCAAAAGCCTACTTACCCAGTTGGACATTGGAGAGTACGACCTCGTTGGATTCTGGGACCGAAGGTGGAATATTGCTGCATATAAGCCACATGAAATTGAAGTACGTTGTATCAAACACGTGTTTGTCGTGTAAGAACTGGATGTTATCGTGCCATATCCAGTCAGCCAACTCTTGGCTCAACTCGATGTTCGGCGTCTGTGCCAACAAGTCTTTCTCGTTTGGATCACATCGCTCGTAGAAAAGCATGTACGCGCTGTGTGTCTTCTCGAATGAAAAGTCCATGAACTTCTCCGTCACTGCATCGTATGTCTTGGTCTGATCATAAAATAAAAATACAATCAATCAATCAATCAATCGACCAACCAACCAACCAACCAATCAATCACTCAATCAATAGATCACTTCATTATTCTAGATGTAAGTGTTTTTAGCGCTGTTGCCCTAATTAAAGGAACTGTAAATGAAATCATATTTAACTGAAACGCGTTAAGAATCCCAGCTGGTAGAAGGCAGCCACTTGACCACTAAAATGCTGCTGAGAAGTTAATCAGGACGAGAGAGAAGTATTTGAAATAGGGACTTCCAGATTTCAAATCCAGCGCACCTAAGCAATACCTATGGTTACTCATGCTTCACTTTTGAAGAGATAGCCTATCTTAGCTACTTGTGCCCGCACTCTTTCTATTTCTGTACAATCAAAACCTACTTGTTTTCGTGTCATGTAAAATTTGTTTCCTCAAAGAAAAGTATATCGGAAACACTTACTGTCATTTCGCCGCCAAAGCATTCTGACGCTATCTGCGCAGGATCAAATGGCTTCACTTCAGCATCATTGAACAAGAACCACTGATCACGCCCCTGAGGGGAGGACCGGTCAAGGATAAAGCTGTAGTAGTGTCCCCCCTCCGCTGTACCAGTGTGGACTACAACTCCAATCAATTGATACCAGTAACTTAGGTCGAGCTGAGGGTCTAACAGGAAAAACACACAAATCATATCAAATCACTTACATTAGTAGGTTTTTTCACGTTAACCTCCATAGGTTGTTATATAAATAGTGTTTACTGTGAAGGTTCTTAATTTTTGTTTAAAAAAATAACTTGTACTCATGGTTGTGGCCTTTATATTGCCCTTAACAGTACAGTATTGTGGTCTTATAACACTGCCAGTGCTCTGGCTCGTTTTTGTTACCTTTTATGTATCGCATGTGATGTACTGTATTACAATAAAAAAACTCTATATTTTGAAAATAAGAACCTGTATTGAGATTTTAGCCTAGAATGGTTCTTATGTGAAGAGTGCTTACCTGGAAAATTTTAGCTTAACAGGTTCTTAAATCTTGGGTTCTTATACGCGGGTTTTTACTGTATATAGAAATGGTAACAGTTCCATGCCAACCCGAAAGCGCTCCTTACATGCTTTCATCAGTTATTCAGGCTTAATGTGTCATACACGCGAGCAAAATGACTAAAATGCAAAACAAAAAAAACAAAAAATTCCAAGGCAGGGTTGCTTTTACATCTGAATAAAAATCAGCTTTTTGGAAACAAGTTACAAACAGAAATGGTCTTTTATAGAACTGTTTCTTGAAAATAGAGAGCTTAAACTTCAATTTTACCTTGCTAACGAATAAACGGTGAACATTTCTGCTTTGAAATATGCCTCAAAATTCCGAACTTCCAACCAGCACCCATGCCTTAAGTATGGCAAACATCAGTCCACGATCACATTGTACAACACCGTTCAAAAGCGTACCTTGTTCTTGTTTGTCTCCCATCAGGAAGTCCTCAGTGTATGGCGCCATGTTGAGTTGCAGTGGAAAAGAGAAGTGCGTGTTTACTTTTTCTTTCATCATGGTCACCATGTTGAAGGCATAGCGCATTGTGTTGAAACAAAGGATGCGAGGAAGAACTTGGAAACAAGCCCTACACAAATGGATGATAAGTCGGGAAGAGAATATTATGAAAGGTTGGAACTATCACCTCTGTCAACAACACCTCATTCAAGCTGTCCACTTCACTAGCCCATTAGGCAAACAATGCGATATTGATAAAGATCATAGGCCATTTCCGAGTTAGCTTGAGCCTCT